GTGGTTTGGCCCCTACGCGTTTATGGGTATTGACGAACTGTTGGGGAAATCTAAGAAACAGCGCTAATATATAGGCAGTATCCCTAATGGACTAATATTAACTAGCATTCCATTTCTTAGCATTTAGTATTCAGTGGGAGTAGGATTAATCCCAGCCATTACATGTTACAGAGTAGTAACCGACTACTTTCCGAAGAGGTTTCTGTTATCAGATTTATGTCAAACTTTCGAAATTATCTACTCTAGCCTTTTCCCTTCATCATCTATGAAATGTTCTTTGGATTGGATCTTTCATGCAATATGCCACTATTTCCTACACCCANCCCCCCCACCCTTTCCCCCGCATCTGTGTGTCGTTTAATCTCTTTATTATCTAGCTCTGACGTTTGTGTGTGCGTGTTTTTTTTAATTCTGTTACCGACAAAAACAAAATATTATGCAATCTTTAGTCATCGAAACAGTTCCTTTATCAAACACATAAAAAATGGTCCGCCTTTTTCCCCTTAAAAGAGTCCCTTCTTACAATCACTTACATATCATAACATTTTTTTTACATTGAAGGTAGATGGTTAATTTCTTTATATAGTAGATCGACCTCCCTGACGTTCGAAAAGTTGTTATCATTAGTTTCAAGAGAATAAAGTACCAGGAAATAATTCTCCAGAGGAAATAATTTTGGACATTGGCCTCCATATACTGAGAAATATCCTTGGTATTTTTTGAATACCAAAACAAGCTGTCGTCGACATATTTTAGGTCAATTTGATGCTGACACTATCATAAGGTTACACTGACTGATTGACAAAATAACAAATTTCTGAGGTGTTGAAATCTAACGCCATATTTCTTGCAGACTCCTCTCTTCGTCTTAAAAAGAGAATTTTTAGAACAACAAAACAAGAAATCAAACGATGTTGACAGCACAATGGTTGATCTATTGCGTGACGTGAATGACAGCAATTATAATTAAGTTCAGACTTTTCAAATCAGGCTGCGTTTCTAAATGTAGCGATTGACAGAGAGAGTACTTGATCGATGTTTATGGCGACCTTACATGTAATAATGGCTAAAGTTTGTGTACGGAAATGAAATGTAAGATATTTACAAAGAAGCTTTTCTCCTCCTCCATAAAAAAAATAGAATTCAGGTATGTGCTGTGTATCGGCCGGAAATATTTCTCCAGTAACTTTTGTGCAGATTGTAAAAAACATATTAACCAAGTAACAGTGAAAATCTGCCAAGTAATAATCTATCTCAAGGCTTAGAAAAAAAAACTCAAATTCTCGTTTCAAGGTACTGTTTGTTTTAATTCGCGCTCGTCACTAGTACGTTTTGCAGTTAAATTCCTACCTTTATGATGAAAATGAGCCCAGACTTGATGTAATTAAAGTTCAGTTCGTGTACGTATCAAGCATTAGAAATAGCCTCTTCTAGAATGCCAACATACTTCCATAAAGACAGACGACATTCAGGCCATAACACACCGAACTGAAAATCTCTCCAGAGACCAGCGGTAGCTAATACACGTCACGTGACCTGTGAATCAGATCGGGGTCACATTTTTGCGTCATAGTAAAGTGCACCTTTTAGCACATTCGCTGTTTGAGAATTAAGGGTCTCTTGAGTGGCAGCCTGTCTTTTTGAGTGACTTTCTTTATGCTAGGCACGAAAATTAAACACTTTGTTGTATTCAAAGTTAATTTCCTTGACGTTTCGTTGAATTCAATTCATGGTTAGTGACGAGATTGCGAGCTGTAATACTTAGTACATGGTAATTCAGGCAGGGCCAGCTCAATCGGCTCTTTGTTGTCTTTTCCAAAAATTCCCCTCTGTGCATGCCACATAACGCCATCTATGGATTAAACGCATTCATAATTCACTTGATGCGTAATTCTGGCAGTTGTTATCGTACTCTTGTCAATCAACCAATACAATCAATTAATCAGTCGAGTCTCCACCCTGGATCGACACTGAAGCGATGATACTGCTAACTCAGATTGTTTGCCCACTTGGACCTAAAAAAAGCATCGCACTTTCTTTCGAGTAGTCATGGCATTCAATAAACTTTGCCAACCTCACTGAAATCAGTTTCAATCGCTCGGCGACGCCTTTTTTCCAAATAAACTTATCCTTTGACTAGCAATTCTTTCCACGAAGCTAAATTGGAACAGTCGTTTACCAGAAGTACGCTCTGAGAATTCTATAAGCGAATTGACACTCAACACAAGAACACTATTGTTAAGGAAGCTAAATTTGCATTGGGCATAACTACACTGTTATCATTAGTTTGTCACGTGCCTATCGTGTGATCGAAGGCTATTCAGTAGTCAAGGTTAGCTCAGACGAATCTTTTCTGTCACCTGTTGGTCTGTAACTAAGTGGTTTAACATTTCTCCAAGGATTGTTATTTGCGATTGGATGTTAGCAATCTTGTTGACCTTGGCCAAGTCATGCTTAGTTCTCGGTGGGACCAAAAGTTACGTAACTATTATTATGTAAAATACTTCCCCTTCTATGTTGTTTGTTTCGAAAGTGGCGGCCTCGGTACTTTCGGAATAAGAAGCTTTTTTATATCACTTCTTTTGGAGGGTCACAACAAGTATAGCTTTCGAGTGATTTTTACTTATAGCCGATGCGGAAACCTGCACTAAATTTGGGCTGATCCATCTTAAGAAAAAGAAACTGTTCTCGGTTTATAGAGACAAGAACATGATACATATTGAAGAAGAGCATTTATGTTTCACCGAAGAGAACATATATTTCCTTTGTAATGTGGGTCATCTACCAAAATATTAGATTTGGTTCGCCTTGTTTTATCTGTTATTTGCATCTCATAACAAGTAAATGACGTTGGAGTTCATATCTCCTAGAGGAGCGTTACTTTGGGAGCGTCGGATAGTTTCTAAAATTGCGTACAATCATGGAATTTTATCTGTACTTTCGAGGGGAGCAGTTACTCTCGAAACGTGTTGCAGTATCCCTGATTCATCTGACGTCAGGGGTACTTGCCATTTACATGGGAAAACCGGAAATTCCAGGGGCAAAATCAAATGGTTCGCGCCATTCCGTTTGGGAAGCATCAGAAAATATGGGCTGTGATTTGAGTTGATGCTATTTTTCTGCCCTTTTAAGTTTTTCTAGCTGATGTGGATATACTTTGTAGCGATTCCCTCTCCCACAGCGTGGCATTCAATTGTTTAAGGTTTATGCCTGAAATTTCTAATCGGATGGTTTTCGTTTGTAAATGGTAAGCACCCCAGAACGCCTTTTCTTTCCGACTCGACAATAAGCTACATCTGAACGCAACATGGCGATATCTCCGCGTAAACAGACAAAGTAGTCATTATATTTGATCTGTATGATAATCATTGCCGATCTGGTGAACTGAACTATCCCGATAAACCCGAGCGTCGAAAGAAATTGAAGCCGGTATTGCTTAAGTGGATTAAGATAATTTGTAGGTTAACCGTAGGCCCCGTTTCCTGGCTCTTCAGCGTTACGTGGTCAGCAAGGGACGTTAAAGAACACACACACTTATCGCAAAGAGTAGGGCACGAAGGTCCCATGGTTTGCGTTGGTCTGGCCTCGTCTCACGGGTTGGTGCTTCACATTGGGTTAACCTCATTGCACCTTTCCCCCTTGTGTCTGTCTGTAAGCTTCGATCAATAATTGTTCCATGAGTTGGCTCATTTTAACAAGCCAATTTCCAATTTACCCACTACGTTTTTTTTTTTTTCTTTTTTTCTTTGCTTCATTTTAAAATCGGGCTGGTTATTTGGACCAACCCAAAACGCGCCTACAAATCGCAGTGCGTGAATTAACCTTTATCTGACAAGTGCATGATCAGGAAAAACGGTTCAGTGAATTTTGATTTTGGCGCGTTTATTCTTAGTATGACCAGATAAAAGCATACAATTTTCAAGCAAAAGTGTTATTCAGTATAAAAATACTTATGACACAATTCTTGCAATATATTTCTATATTATTGTTCCAATCATCGACTACGTCACAAAAATAATTTTCCAAACTACGTACATATTTACAATAGGGTTTTTATGGTTTATCTGGCATAACAGACTTAATACACGCGCAATTTAGGCGGAAAATGTATATTAAACACTTTGACTTTTTCGCCCTCGTTTAGTATGGGCAGAGAGATAGAAAACTACATTTTAAAACAAATATCAACAGATATATTTCAATATAAAGATCATTGTCTACGAGCGAATAATTGAAATATTATTATAATTGTTATTATTATTATTATTATTANTTATTATTATTATTATTATTATTATTACTATTAATTAATTAACCACGAACGAAAAAATCAGATTTGTGAAAGAGCGAGTGGTTCCAACAAAATGTTGCTGTTCATGAGACTCAACCTGTACAGAAACCTGTGATAAAACAAGAAAACTGTTCTCGTTTCTCTCTTGCACTTCAAACAAGAAACGTTTTGCAACATACAAGCGAGCAATGACTCAGTGAATATTATGCGGAAATCCTTAAGTAGCAGTAGATGCCCAGTTCCTTTCTGTGATGCATTGTTCAATGAAACACCGACATCTCTATTTATAAGTTGATCAATCTCAGGGTTTCTGAGACTAGGCAATTTCCATGATATCCATCGTGTGTAATCTAGGCCTTTCTGGGTTATTGAAAGTGGCAAGGTCACCTCTGTTCTGGTACACTGGCTCATCTATCGGCTCGTTAGTGTTTTCGTATACTGGCTGTTCATCTTCGCATTCGTCGTTGGTGTGTCGATATTCACCGGAACTTTCGCGGCTGGAATGGTCCCGCAAACCGTCGGGCTCGTAAGCTGCGTTGTCGAACTGTAACGCGATCCCCTCTTTGCTGGGGCCAGCTTCTTGAGAGGTGCTCGCTGTGCCAGTATCAGGAATCTCTTTATTAGGTCTTGTGCGCTCGAGTACCGTGACAGTCTCGTCCGGTTCCAGTCGTGCAATAGATCCCGGCCTGTTCAGTAGCTTGCCTGCACAAGGGTCTATGGCGTAACGCCCGGCCGAGGAGCTTCTTTTTTTGTTCTCGTCTTTATCTTTGATTGTTTTCCCGGCGTTGTCGTTGGCATCAGTGTAAAGAGGGCTTTGGTCTCTTGAGAGCTCATTCAACTCCCGACGAATTCTCCTCACCACGACACACAGATACAGCACGACAATGCAGAGGAGACCACAGCAGCCGCACACTACCGCTGTCAGGATCTCTGTCAGGTTCATGAGCTGAAACGAAAAATTGCCCGTTCATTAAGAGCTCTTTCATTGCATTTTGAGTTATTTCTGCCACTAGCAAAATGACCTTTAAATTCAGTGAAGAACACCTGAAAATAGTAGTTAACTAAGATAGAAAAACACAAAAAAGAAAATAATAAACTATAAAGGAGCAGGGACGTCGAGGATGGAGAAGATTAACACGGATTGCAAACGACGAACTTGAAAATTTTAGGCTAAACTTTTCAATATGCGCAAAGCGTGACATTGCTCCTTTAAGCAATATAGCCAGGCATATTTTGCGGATCAATTTTACCCTTGAGCAATATTTGTTTTCTATTGTTCTTTTGTATGTTACAGCATGGATATAAAAGAAAGACGTACACAAATATAATTTGTATTACTACTTTTATGCTTCTCTAGATGCAGTGCCGCTTTTGATTTCTTGCAATATCAGTATGGACCTTCGTAGTCAGTTTTCGGTCCTCCAGCTAATGTGCGTGAGAGACTGAGCAGACTTGGGATTATAATTATGACTTAGCATTTTTATTGCTGTTGTTATTCTAAGCGTTGTTGTCGTTGTTTCTTAGAGAGAGTAAATAGAAACGCTTCGACCCCCATTCCGACAAGATTCGAAGGAACGTTTTCGCGAAATAACAAGTATTCAACAAAAAACGTTTTACACCTTTTACTGAGCAAAGTGATCGACGATATCGAGTCAGTATTTCAGGAAAGTTATGCCATTTTCTCATGGTCAAATATGATGTCGCCAATCTTTAAAGAGGTGGTTTTCGCTACCAAGACATTCCGTTTTGGGGTATCTTGCGTTTAAAATCAGGACGGCGCTTTTTCCCTCCAAAATAACACTGGATCGGATGAAGAACGCGCTCCCTTTTTCTTCCAGAAAATCTTGTAATTATATTCTTTTTCCTGTTTTCCGCTTCAATTTTCTCAGTTTGTTATCAGGTTTAGATTAATTTTCCATTCTTGAATACCTCCGATGCCGTTCTTGAATACCTCCGATGATGGGAGAGTTTTGGTGATAATTATAGCAAGGAAATAATATTTTTGAACTCCACTTACTTGAAGGGGTATTAGTTTAAAAAAAACCCAAAGGAGGTTTGGTTTTAGTTCTCCTTACTTGACTTTCCTGGGAGAATTTAACGTTTTATGAAGACGTTTTCCATAAAGTGATCGTGTCATGGATTTTCGTAACCTAACGTACTGAGTTTAGCACTACATATAAAAGAGAAGTTTTAATTTTATCAGCCCCACTGCAGGAACGAAGCAAAGTTCATTTCCGTATACCAAGCGAGAAGCTATGCAATTTGTGCTAATCACCTCAAGCACACTGAACTAATTCATTAAAAAATAGTCTCTTTGAAGTCACCAGTTAATTCACGCATTGTAATTCAGTTGACAGCATTACTCAAATTGGAACATGATGTCGTAAAAAGTTTAAAAAAAGAGTCGCTGTCACCTTAATTCGACTGGAAAGTGCAAATGAAGGCAATATCTTAGCGACCGGAATAGCGGAGAATGGCTTTATCCGCGCGAATTCCAAACATAATAAGAATGTTGTTTCAGAAGTCGCTGAATGAAAGTGCTTCACAAAAAGATTGTTTTATCCAATTGAAGCTATGTCCGGTGGAATTCTTAACCGATAGCCATATAAAATGAAATATAAGATCATCGCAAACCCCCTTATAATACAAACTGGCTATTGGGAGTCGCATCAAAGAATCAAGAATGGCGGTTCTTAATTATTAAGTAGTAATGATCCATTGATCTAAGTCCCGACGCGCTCTTGAAATTCTTACTCCGTTCCAGAAGCACCTTTTTAAGGAAATTTTACCAAACAACGAAATTGCGGAATAATGCTAGTTTTAAAAGAGGAAATGTAATTATAAAAACGTTTCGCTACTACTTCGTTTTACCTACCGAATTGAAAGGCTTCCTATCTATGCATGTTGATGCAAATCGCTAAGTGTCTGAAAGTCACTAATCGCTGTCTTTGCCCATGTGACTAGCGCACTTAAGAAATGTGAGGGGTTTTGGCGATTTGTATCTTAAAAAGGAATTTCAAGGCCTCTTTTTGACTGTCAGAAACGCTTTTCAGTAGAAACGTGCAACCATGCAACATATCCCGCCGCGGTGAAATCTTTACACAAGCAATACGTTACTTAAAAAATAAAACAACAATAATATAAGACCGCGCTGCGGAAACACCTTCGGTAAGATACGAGCTCCTTGAGGAAGTAAGGCAATACATACGATATAGGTAATTTGGCGTGCCAATCTGGTCTGGTAGATAAAATGTATAGAAGGAAATAAGGAGCGTAATGCACGGATCTCCTGCCTTAAATATTAAAATTTGTTTAGTACCTTGTGCAAGTGATCAGGATCAGCGAGTCACTCAATGTGCTGTGGACCTTGTAAAGTAACCGGCCCTGGTTTCCCCGCGTAGCGCTCGTGCGAAGAGTAAATTCGAAGAAGCTTCAAACAGGTGGTTTAAAAACTCTCGAGAACCTTAGCTACGGCTGGTACAAGCCTGGCTTGAATATCGCCTGAACTGTCTGAAGCTAGGATGCGATTTGAGCCGATCCTGCCTTCCGCCGATTTACCGAGGCCGCGATGAGTGTTCGTCGGTTGACTGTCCCAAACAGCGATTATGTAGAAGACAGCGTTCTTTCTGAACTCAGCGAGTCAGTTAGCAAGCTTTCTCCCTGTTTTTGAGCGCTAACTTTTGCAAACGTAGCAGCTCTTTCGAGATCGTGCCTCCTTTGTTGTCGCAAAATCCAAAGATTGTGACGGGAATAACCCTTTGACACGAGCATTTCAATTTTGTCAGTTACGCAAGAGCGAGCATCTTTGCAATTCAATTAGATTCAAAAGGAAGTATTTTGAAATATTGAGGCATTTCTCGCTGCGGTGGAAGAATACTACTAAATCTGCAATCTATTCTTGCATTGTTGTCTTCTACTCTTGAAATCTTTATTTTTTTCTAGGTTTTTTTCCAAAATTAAACACGATAAAATTTGGCAAATTCTTCACAGACGTAACGGGAGACTGTTAATGTTATCCATATAATAAGCCTTGAATGGCCGGAAGGTCTAAAATAGCCCTGTGTTTCCGCAGCCCAATACCTGAATAAAATTTTAAAACTAGTCGATCTAACCACAGCTCCTCAGCGCATTGTATTTTGTATCGTTTCTGATCATTGTGTGTGTGGCGAAAACATGTTTTGACAAAACACGAAGAAAGGTATTTTGATCCATTAGAACGAAACTGTCAAGAGGGGTTTACCCCCATTTTGACCTTGTGCTGAAACGGAGATGAAACGGAGAGCTTGTTTTCGCATTTGCGTGTGTTTGTCTTCAAAATGAATTGTCAGCGATAACAGCTGCCACAGACTTCTGAAATGGCTTGTTGGACATCGGAGTGTCTTGTACCTGACAGACCATACCGTGACTGAGGCCGAGAACTGACAATTGAAGATGTTAGGAAATTTACGCAGTTTGAGTGTTTAATACAAAGCCATAAAATATGCGAAAACATCTCAGTCGTATAATACACATTTAAATATTTCATTTTTGTTTTATCACAATTGTTGTTACCTGAACCATTGTGGCCACATGAAGTGACTTGTAGAATGACTTGTTTGGTTTTACAAGGAAATAAATATTGGAAAAATGACTGAGTCATGCATCACGGGATATGTCTCTGCAAGCTGGAGAACTCAAGTTTGCATGTGGTAAACAGGATGTATATTCAAAGCAACACAAAAAGGGAAGATAACAAGATCAGTGATTAACAATTTTTACAACATACCCTTGTCTTCAGTTGCAAATTATGAGACTACGGTCATGACAATGATTCAGGCTACTTTGAAAGAGATGCTTCTCTTTCTATCTCATAAACTTCACTCGATATGATCCTGAGCCGGAATGCGTCGAATTCTTCCTTTTTAGTAATGAGCTGGTTCATAAATATTTAAACTGACGAAACGTGACTCTGAATATGGGTTAAGTATAGTGATATAAGAATATTGATGATGCTCTTTGAAAGTGAAACCAGACGAAATCTCGAAATGATGTCACTTAATTAAAACCAATTTAGTCGAAGAAAAGGAATTTCACTAAATGTAATCCGGCGTCCCTTAATAGCGCATCATTCTTAGTACCATGAGTTAATATTTTACTAGAAACTTATTTCATCTATGTTGTGTTTTAGTGGGCACAGTAAAAATAGCAAACGAACTCGGAATAATCCCGGCATTACTGCTGAGCTTGCATATTTGCTGTACTGATAACTAATTGGAGCTCTCTTGTAAGACTTGCAAAAACTCAGGAAAGCACTGCTCGTTAGAATTAATCATAGGATCGCAATCCAAGTACATTTACTTTCGCAGTGCAAATGAGGTCTTTGGAAATCGAAATGTTATCTAATTAATGACATTTAGGGGGGGACTTTTCTCATTGTTTTGTCCGAAAAAGTACCTTCTTCTTTCGAGTCATTCATTTCCATGAGTTACTAGATAGAGATAATTGCACAGCTTTCCTATATACAGGGTATTCCATGAGGGGTTAGGCATGAAAAAATATGTCCATGCACGGCCATAGACCATTGGTTGAACTCCCAACTGACACTGAAAGCAATACTGACAATCCCGCCTTTTAGTCATTCGGTTTTCGATGGCCTCTAAATGCTCGATTAAGGGTAAACTGACTAAGCCAAGCATGACCTCAGCGAACGCATGCATGTATACCACCATTTGCTTGTAATCTTATCTCACATGTAACCAATCTTGTGCCAGTTATGCTTACAAGCGTAGTTTTTAAACTCTTTTTACGAGACTCTTATGGCTGTCGGAACTACCTCTGTTTACTTTGTTTAGTTTTAGTACTGATAGCTCCTGAAAACGACGAGTACAGAATTCATTCATCTGTTCAGACCTCTTGGCGTTCACAGTCGACACAGTGAACTAAGCATCAAATCCTTCGTTGTTTGCTTCCAGGTTGCTGTTCTTCTCTGTACCTTCACCTAAATTATCTCGTCTTAGGTTTCCTGCTGTAGTTTTAAACTGTGCTGGTAATGAAGGATGCGGATTGCGATGTAACACAGTGATGGATTCACCTGGTGCATGCTGCGCCCGGAGGGGAAGTAGATGCAGTTCTCTCAAGCGTAAAGATTCGTTGCTGCTAAGGTTACAAGAACTGTTCTCCCTCAAAGAAAGACGCTGGACTTTCTTTTGAACTCGCTTAAGGTGCACAAGAAGATAAATAACTGTAGAGCAAAGAATGAGTTGACAAGCGCAACCCACCACTGACACAGCTAAAACGATATAGATGAGGTTCTGCTGATCCATGCATGAAATTAAAGGTTCTGAAATTGAAACAAGAAGGCACGTTACTCTAGTAGCGTAATAATATCGACGCTGGAGTAACTGTGACCAATAACACCAAGAAATGGTACACTGCCGAAAGAGACCTAGCTAGCAACAGCCACGTAATAAATCAGATTTGCCCTGATTCCTTCAAAGGATATTATACATTAATTAACCAACAACACAAACAGCAAAGGTTATTTGCATGGCGTTAAATCGTAACATCAGTGCAGTTTCAACAGCTTAAATAGTGGAAGGCAGGCAAGAAAAAGTGACATTTTTAACCACAGTTTCACAGTTTTATGTTCCCTGTATCAGGTAAACGTTCACTGGGTCTTCAAGACAGTTGCGAAGAGTACTAGATATTCTATTATAAACCAACCCAAGATGAAAAACGCTGAAAGCCGCATGTTAATATCGACTACATAACATGGATAACTACCTACTGAATTGCTTCAGCTTCTACGGCTTTGGGTCAACGATTAAGCAGCCAAGATCTAGGGCGGAGTTCCCATTTGCCTTCTTGCCTTCCACCTGAGCTACTTCCGCGAACCACCATAAACTAAAGTGAGCTTGAAGAGTGTTAATGTTCCCCTTATAACAAACAATTGCCTCCAGTGGCGACTCTGCACTTTACTAATAGCGAAGCGTTATTTACATTTGATCGATATCGCTGAAGCGTTCTAATTAAAGAACTCATTCATGGGTAAAGCAATCAACTGTTATTGTTGGTGACACTGATCAACTTTATGGATTCACGTGATCAGTATGACAGCTTTGACTTAGCATTGACTAGTTGATTGCCTTCAAAGCTAATAGCACTGTAATGCTGCAATACTAACAATGAAGCAACGGTTAAAAGCTTTTAACAGAACTGTAGAGTTATGCACCGGTAATCAAAAAGAGAGAATCCTAAGTCGTTTTTTTTTCAATCTCACTGTTGGAATGACCAGGGCTGAACAAACCTATAAACGCATTAAGTGGGAGCAGGCCAACCTACAGAGTCAAATTTATTTGTGGTCTCGTTGTTTTTTGTTTCCGCTACGGCAGTCATCAGAACATGTGAAAGAACTGATTTATGTGAACTACAGAAAAAAATTGAACTGTCCGAGTCGAAGTGATATCTGTTGTGAAAGAAATTACTTGTAGTTTCCAAGAGAACCCCAAAACATTAAAGGAGATATAGAGATGAAGAGGTAAAACCGTCGTAAATGAATTATTAAATTTCGGTTACGGAATTCCTTTCTAGACTTGTTTTGTAACCCCTCTTACTATCTACATCGAACTAAAATGATCAGAAATAGTAGCCTACAGGATTTAGTTTTTAGCTTGTCTTGAAACATATCGCAATGGGTAGACCCAGTGGAATAACTCTTAGTGCATGTGCTGTACTCTGAATCGCATGGTCCGGGTTCGAGTCCTGGCCGGGTTCACTGTGATCAGTGTGTTCTTG